ACAGGAATATATACTGAAATGCTGAAAACAAAGCAATGACCCAACCCACAGGCTGGAAATATTCCATTTCGATCCCTAAAAAGGGAGGTGCAAAAGAGGACAGGACCATAGCTTTGACTTCCCATGTTCCCACAGCATTGCTTCCCAAAGCAATGCTCAAGGTCTTGCAACCAAGAATTTGATCCTACATGGCATGAGAAATGCCTGATGCTCAAATCTGGATTTTGTAGAGGAGGAGGCACTAAAGATCCTATCACAAATGTATATTGGCTACTGGACTGCACCAAAGAGTATCAGAAGGATCATGAGAAGTTATGGATGGTTCTGAAAAAGGAAAAAAAAAAAAGGGAAGGGACCTGTGCCCCAGCTCTTGATTGTCCTGAAGTGTAAGCTGCATTGTGAAAAAGATACTGTTGGGGTGGGAGATGGAGAAACAGAGTGGTTTTCTATAGGCAAAGGCATCATAGAAGTGTATTTTATCTCTCTATCTGGTCAATCTGTAGGGAAAACCTATAAAGAAAGGTGGATTTGGATCAGAAGACGGTGCAGCAAAAATTGAAAAAAAATTGATATGCAGATAATACCAGATGCGGTAAATGGCAGAAAGAAACAATGAATTGAAATTACTGCTAACGAAAATGGAAGAAGAAATATTCTATTTCACATGAGACTTGAAAGCCTGGGCTGAATCAATCTTGCTCACTCTCTTACAGATTAAGGAAGATATGCATGAGCATAAGAAGCTGCCATTGATCCATCTAGCCAAGTATTGCCAGCACTAGCTGGTAAACAGGTCTCAAGAGGTTTTAGCACAAGTTTTTCCAGCTCTCTCCGAAGTTGCCAGGGGCTGAGCTTAGGACCTTCTGGATACAAATCACATGCTCTTCATCTGAGCTATGGCCCTTCATGCACATTTAAACTGCTGCCACTTCACTCCCCCCTTAATGCCAGCGATGAAACCAATCAGGAAGCCACAGTTAATCATCATAGTTTTCCATCACATTCAAACCAGGATCAATTGTTAATATGGTTGAATACCAGTTGCTATTGGACATGATTGGGAAGCTGCTACAGTTCTATCCTGCATACTTTCCACAGTTATCTGGTTGTTTAATGTGGGAACAAAATGTGGGTTAAACCTATGCCATGAACCAGCAGGAAACTTCTTATGTTCTTAAGTCATTAATTATAGCTCAGTGTTCTGACATAAGAGGAAGCTATGGTTAACCACTTCTTCCTTGTCACTGCTGCTTCTCACAAGAAGGGAGAAGCAAAGGAGCTGAATGCAGACACCCACAGCTTGTGCATACATTGCCTTATCAGGCTATGATTTGACCATCCAAAGACAACAACATGTTTTCAGAATGTCTAAGACAACACTATATATAAGTGAAACCGGATGTTTATTGTAGGAAAAAAAGTAGAGGTTATTTCAGAGTGATTTAACTAGAGGTTATGCTTACTTGATTTTGTTGCCTCACTCCACATGATAGTAGCCACATAAAAGATAGTAGCCTAAGGCCAACTGCTTAAGTTTGTCAAAGTAAGTCTACACCAGTATCTGATGTGAGTGTACTTCCCATTCCTTAAATTCATGTTAAACTGCCTGTGTCTTCGGAAATATACATTTAGAAGTTATGTTCAAACATATACAGTTAATCTAACACCAATTTTATACTGCATTTGAAAATATAAACCATCTTTTTTCCTTGTATTTGTGTGGGCAAAAAAACTAAGTTATCATTGTGTTTACAATTGAATAAAAGCTTGGTAGTGTTTCTTATCAGCACAAGTTAAGCTGCCAAATTTTTATTATATCCATTCTTCACGATACCATTTTCCAAGTGCTCCTTTTATACTGTACAAACCTGAGTAACTATTTTCTAAAGCTCTGTGTATGATTCACCACATTTGTATGCTACTACAACAAACACGTTCCTACTTTCCCATTCAAGGCAGGATGACAATTTGGGACGCATTAAGGCATGGATAGATTTTTACCAAAGGAAAGGTACAATTTCATAAATTCTGCTGCAATCCTAAGGTCCTTGAGAGAATGTTCCAGGAGCTTTAGGATTTTTTGGATCTTCCCACGCTAAGGGTAGAGATCTGCCCTCAGAAGGAGAGCACAAACTTCCCAGGCCCTGAAGAATCCTCCACAGCTCTTGCATCTCCAACAATAGAGCTCTAATATTCACAGCAGGAAAGGGGAGCTATTAATGTGCAGGACCTAAATCAACCTGGTATCACATAACAGTTTTTTGCCCCATACAGATCTCCCCAGCTGTTAAACTTATCATCAGAGCCCTCCTGGCTCTGCTACATTCTGCAGATGTTTATCTACTGATTACCAGGAAGAAAGACTCTTCTGCGATGGCACTCACTCTGGACACCCCTTTATGGCATCTTAGGCTCATGCTGAAGATGTTTTCATTCATGTCAGTGTTCCTTTATGATACCTGTAACTCTGCTTTTACCTCAAAATGTTTTACAGGACAGGCTATATAAAATATTATGAGTAATAATTAAATAAATGGTTCTTCAAAATCTTTTGCTAAAATATTATTTAATGCAAAGATAACCCTTTATGATTTTACTGAACAGCTAGGAGAGAAATTTTATTAACATACTTACAACACTATTGTTTGTTTATTACACTTCCATACCACCAAATAGCTGAAGCTTTCCATGATCATTTTCATATCACATGGTAATAGCTTACTGAAATAACCAGGGTGCTTTCCATTCTCTGGTTGGCTTATAATGACCCAGAATTCCAGCTCATAATGATCCCTCAAAATACATGGTTATGTTTCTTATGGTTATGTTTCTTATATTATATGAATGGTCTGTGATTCAAAGTTAGGAAAGTGGCAGACAAATAAACCAGTTTTCCAGTCTTGGCACCATGTGATGATAAGCAATTAAAAGAAATCTTTCATAGTCTACAAAGACAGCTAAGGGAAATTAGAGTGACTGTGACCTGGCAATGCAAGGTACCAAAACATGTTAGTGTTGGTGTTAGGCAGATTATGCTACCATATGGCAACCACTGTTTTAGGAATTGTGTGAACATTAATAATACTCATATGAGGAAATACTATGATTTTACTAATCAGGTTAAATCCAGCTTTCAGAGCACAAAACTGGAAATAAAGCCCAAATTCAAATTAGTCAAGGTAGAATTCCACTCCTTACTTCCTCCAAAATCAAATGCTCACTTCTAATCCTCATTCAGCTAGCAGCTGTCTTGATCATTTTAAGCAAGACCACATGAGCAGAGCTAGTGCAAGCCTGCAGAGTACAGTCTGTCATTAAAAAAAATGAATAAATAAACCTCTCCCATACATGTCAAACCCTGCAATTTTAAACTGTCACTCACAGAAAGCAAGGGGTTTTTTTAGGATTGCCCATGAACAATCTCCATCTTATGTGTCTCATTATTTGTCTGCTGGGACTAGTGCAGTTTTTCTTCGTGATGTTCTTTCATGTTCAACCATCTTTGCTATAAATAAAATGGCTTGATGGCCCCATTCTTAACAAGAAAATGTATTTAAGCATATACAAGCTATAAGAAATGTATTAATGAACAACACTGCTGCTTGGCCATAGTTGTCACAAGAAGACGAGCACAGATTTCTCTAGAACATGGGACATTCTATTTGACATTCTATTAGTAACTTTTCAGCAGATTTTATGAGAATTTTTCTTTACACAACAGCTTTATCTAAAATGAAGCTATTTATGTTCCACTTAGAAACAGGGCCAAGTACAACTGCAGCAACTGGTAAATGGGCATGGCTACACTTGCCCTACTGCCCATGTATGGAATACTGTAGGAATGCTCACTGTTATCAACACAAAAACACACTTTCACTTTAAGCACCTTACTTTGAAACAAAAATGTCATGGAGTTACTTCTACTAAAAAAAGTAATTACAAACCTAAAGCTAGATAGAAGTTACTTGAATCATCCGGCAGAAATTCAAGATAAAGCAGGTAACTTATGAAGATGGAAATAACCCAACAAAAAGAAGCAGCAGCAGCAGATACAGTGGCAGACAGTGATAACACAATAAACTTAAAGGTGATTCAGTATTTAATTAATCATCATTACACAATCATTAGCAAAGATTAAGATCAATAGACCACACAGGTGGCAGAGAAGAATGCTGTCTAGACAGCACAGCACTACAGACAATGGCTAATAAACACTATCCAAAGTCATAAAATTCTGCATGGCTTAATTTCATTATTCGTGCAATAATCATGCAATAATCATGTAAACCAGGTTAGTGCAAGCATGTGCCAACATGCACTTTTTTAAACCATACAAGTGTATATTTTAAGACTGAACTCTCCCCACCCTTTCTTCTGCTCTCTCCACCCAGCCAGCACCAGATTCTTGCCTGGCAGGAAATTACATCCCCTTCCCCACCTGAGTGAATGAGCTGTGCTTTCAAAGCCTTCTATTTCTGCTACTCCAACAGAGGGCTGGGATGCCATGGGTCCTGCACCACTGAAATAGACTGACAGGGACAAACACTCTGTAGCAGTAGCTTTTGCTCTAGGAAACCCTTCCAGAAACAAGAGGACTCATTTTTACATCACCTTGTAAGGCAAGGTGTTTTGATGTGGAAAAGCTTCTGCTATGTTTTATACAAATGTCTTCAATACAGCTTTCATATAATTTTTGATATAGCATTTTTACTTAATTTGTTGATTTAAAAGTTTCACTTTGGTGTTTGCTAATTTGGTGTGCAGAGTATAAGACAAAATTTAGAACCAGTTTGTCATGATAAGCAACATGCTTATTTTAAAATTAAGTACAGCACAACAGTCATACAGCCTATGAAAATAAACCATATTTGTATTGTATCATAAAACTGCTTTAAGAAACATTTGTTGAAGGACACAAAATATCCTCATAAAATAACTTTAAAATACTAAATGGCTAACAAGATAATGGACAGGTATACCAAACAATGGTGGTTTTTTACCTTTTTAGGTTTGTCGTGTTGTCTGAATCGCATCATGATATTTCAGCATAGTATGTTTTGCTAGGAAAAACTACAAACAGAACAGTCTATTCCATGGTTTTGCAGTACCCTGAATGCTTGTTGCATCATCAAACTGGAAAACACAATTCAGCATCGTACCAATCAGAACCAGAGAACCGCTTGGCAAGAGCAGACCATTGCCATGAGGGTGGCCATTTGCACAGCTGTCACAGACATTCCCCCATCTCCCACCTCCTGTCCTAAAGATCTTCTCTGGGCAGGAGCAGGCAATCAGGTCAGTGCTAGGAGAAGCAATGTTCAGTTGATTCCCCTTCAGCTGATTCCCCCACCGCTGCTCCTGCACAAGCAGGAGCGATGAAGCTCTGCTGGAGGGCAATGCCCAATTGGGGGCAGCATATCGCAGTGGATGCTCTCATGTCACCCGTTGCATAAGGCAGAGTGAAGCACCACATGATGCTCCTCACGAGCCAACAGCAGGGATAGGAATCCACAGGGCAGTGCCGCAGGAAGGAGCACTGTTACTCAATTTGTCCCTCCCAGACCTTTGCACATACCAGAACAAAATGCCTTGCAAGAAACGGCACAAGGAACACTGCCCACCAAATTCCTCCCTTTTTCCTGGCTGTGGATCAGGAAAACCCTCCTGCTCCAACAGTCCCCTCTGAAGCAGAAGAGCAGTCTATCAGGCCACCTCTGTCTGCTTCACTTCAGGGCACGAGCCCTATTTGTGCAGCAGAGACTGCCTGTCAGCCATGGTGAAGTAAACTTGGCTCGCAATTGCAGTTGTCAAAGTGAGGAGCCTCATTCCTCCTTGGAATGCCTCTTGGAGTACTGCCTGGAGGACTGAGGAGGACGAAGATGCCAAATGAAACTTACTATGATGAACCTGACTGTCTTTCAGGCACATCCATACATAAAAACCTCACACAATGATACTTGCACAGTATTGCTTGTTGTGACATATCAACCCAGACAATGAACCTGGTGGAAACAAAATACAGCCAATTAATCACCCAGTTGTTCACAGGATCACCACGCTTCAAAGATGACTTGATAGCACATGAAACCAACAAATTTCAAACCTAAGTTTTACACAGTAGTGTCTATCATTTACTCAAAAGAGCCTCTCAGTGATGTGCCAATTTACAAGCTTGTTATATTCAGGAAGCTTTTGATATATGATACATTTAAAATCATAGTAGAGTTGGAAGGGGCCAGAAGGCCATTGGCTCTAACCCCTGCTATTGCAGGATACTGCTTTACACCATCCCATTCAGATGACTGTCCAGACCCTTTCTGAATGTCTCTAGTGATGGAGAGTCCACAATTTCCCCAAGCATTTAGTATCTGCCCTTGTCATACTGCCTGAAGGAATGTTGTCCATGGGGTCGCAATGGGTCGGATGTGACTTCACAACTAGCAACATTGTCGTACTGCTCTGACACTTAAGAAATTCTTTCTGATGTCTAGTCTAAATCTGGTATCTTTTAATGTGTCCATTATTCCATGCCCTGCCTTCATGAATGGATGAGATCTTGTCCTTTCTCTTTGTGACAGCCTTTCAGGTACTTGTAGAATGCTATCATATCACCCCTCAGTCTTCTCTTCTCCAGGCTAGACTTGTCCAGTTCTTTCAGTCTCTCATACAACTTTGCCTCCAATTCCTGAATCATCCTTGTTGCCTTCCTCTGTACTCTTTCCAGCTTTTCTGATAATTGTTTAAACTTTGGTGCCCAGAACTGGACAGAGCACTCTAGGTAAGGTCTGAGTAGTGCTAAGTATAAGGTAACTAGTACTTCATGTGTATTGGAAGTGATACTTCTGTTAATGTAGTCCAAAACAGTGTTTGCCCATTTTGCAGCTGCATCACATTGTTGGCTCATATTTTAGCTTGCAACAAACCCAAGTTTAGTTACAACAAACCCAAGATCCATCTCATTTGCAGTATTGTTGAGCCAGTATTCCCACTCTGTAGCAATACATTTGGTTTCATGTTCCTAAGTGGAGGACCTGGCATTTGTCCCTACTGACTTTCATTCTGCTGTTCTCCACCCAGTATTCTAAGCTATCAAGATCATCCTGTATCTTATCTCTTTCTTCCAGGGTATTTGCTATTTCAGCCAGATTTGTGTCATCTACAAATGTAATTATGTTTCCTTGTACCTCCTCATCTAAATTGTTAATAAAAATGTTGAAGAGTACTGGTCCCAGGACAGAACTGCAGCACCCCACTTGTCACCTCTTCCCAGTTTGAAAATGTGCCATTGATGAGCACTCCAATTTTGCAGCCATCTGTGGATCCACCTAATGGTTTCACTATCTAGCCCACTTTTTGCTAGTCTGGTTATCAGGTTGTTGTGGAGTACTTTGTCAAAGGCTTTGCTAAAGTCTAGATAGATTATGTTCACAGCATTTCCACAATCCATTTGGGAGGTTACCCCGTCAAAAAATGAAATTAGATTACTCTGTCAGGATTTGTTCTTGAGAAAGACATGTTGGCTTCTAGTAAATGTAACACAACTCAAGTTGCACAATCTAAAATTGTACCACTAGATGGACCCTTGGTTTGATCCAGCATGGTGGTTCTTATGCTCTTACAAGCTACCATTAGCATGCAGAGCAACAGGAGAGCAAGTCATAGCAAATAGTTCCTACCTGCCCCTGTGATGTGCAGATCTACCAGCCCTTACCCCTGGTGTTCAAGCACACAGTGGGGATTTCTCTGGTGACATAGCTGTCCTGTAAACAAATGTACATGCTGCAGTTTCCATGGGACCCAGAACCCTGATTGTGTCGGATTCTGGATCATGTGAAAGTCTTTTGTGTATAAAAGGCACCCTCCTTGCTGATATTTTGTTGCTGTTGTACAAGTACAGTGTTCACTAAAGAACAGTTATAGAAACTTTAAATAAATAAAATACCAGAAAGAATGGGGTTTCTCAGGTCATCTGACATTACTCTCATGGCCCCACTCCACTGCTGATCAATAGTTCTATGTCAAAACAGTTACTTCTGATTAGGACTTGCTGATGCTCTGATGTAATTATTCTTTAAATCACTACGAATATTAACTATACGTAAGCAACCCAGTCAGTCTAGGAATATACTAATGGCCAAGGCTGCATTCCTGTTGTACCTGCATAACAAAATTATAACAGTATCACAATAGAACAAAGAACAATTAGAAGACAATACTGAGCTATCTAGGTAAGGTATGTGTGATCTGATGGTTTGTGATCATGATTCCAACAGTCTGTTTTGAAAGCATTTTAAACTAACAAGGTTTTGCTCGTCATCCACTTATACACCCTTCTATTAAAAAAACTGTCCTCTTCTTTTCAATGTTAACATAGGATTTAAGGGCTAGTAGTAATGCATCTGAGTCTACATAGACAGTAGAATGCAGCAAGATATTGTACTACTTCAAATCACAGTTGCATAAATGCCATTTTTAATGTTCTAAAGTACTTTAAAGTTGATCTAATTTAGGTTCATTCTAATGAATTACAAAAGAACTCAACTTCAAACATTTATGAAAGCTTTTGTGCACCACAGTCAATTAGGTATAATACAGGTGTCCATGCTAGTACATAGCAAACATGGCCTAACTATATCTTGAGGTAAATTCAAGAATAGAAGCTTTGATTGATAGAGAAGAGCCTGGCAAAGAAAAATAAATGTGTTAAATTCAGCTGTAATTATTGGCGATAAGGAAGGGCTCTGTTGACTTCGTTCTGCCTTTTCCACTGCTGGGAGCAAGAGTGATACTAGATTACAAAGCTGCCCAAATATACTGCTTCTGAGCAATCATAACAGACTGCTGATATATGTGCAGCAGATAACTCATTCTTCAAAAGCTCCCTTACCAGATCACCTCCCTTTCTTTATACAAAGCAAAGATGTGCACCAGATGGTCATACAATTTGCTCACACACTGCCAGCCTGGGATAACAAGGAAAGGCAATCACCCAGGTGTAAGAAGCAAATAGTGTAACAAATACCAAATATAAACACTGCATGCTTAAGCAAAATTATAGAAATGATATGAAACAGCATGTCCCATTTCAGGGTTTCTTAATGCTCTCTTCCTGATAGATATACAGTCGATCACCAGCAAAATGATGATCCTGTAACCAAGAAGCCCACATTGACAGGGTCACACCAGTACAGGACAAGACAACTGAAAGCTGAACTGGAAACTAGAGCAAGCCTCTCTTATACACCATTAAATAAATACATGCTCAGGTATCAACAAGGATAGCAAAAGAGTTTAAAACGAGAAAAACAGGGTAGAGAGGGAGAGAAAACAAGGAGAAACAAAGATTTTTGCATGGTGTCTTACTGATGCATGCGGGGTGGGCAGGCACAAGAGAACAGACTTTCCAAACCTAAACCTCCCTAGACGCTCATCAATAAAACCAATTGATGGAAAACATGGATCCAGAAGAAATATCAGGAAAGATAGAAAGAGAAATGTCGCTTCAGGTCTTTTCCCCACACTTCGCATTCCCGATCTAAACCGTGATGCCTGTAGAAAGAGAGGGAAACCCAGCGCAGGAATTAAAAAGAAGTAAAAAGCAACAGCAGCTGGTAGGAGAGGGAAAAATAAAAAGCCAGGAGAGATTCCTTGTTAGATAGAAGAAACGGGGTCGTCCTCCGCAACCTCTGATCTCCTGAGAAGACACGAAGCGCGATGAGTCGCCACGCCAGCTCGCTGCAGGAGCGCGAGTGGAAGCGGCTCGGCAGGGCGCGCACGGGGGACCCGCGGGCGGCTCGTCGCCAGCAGCGTGAGAATCCGGAAAGGTGCTGCCGCCACGCCGGAGCGTCTGCGCCGTGTTGAGGCGGGCAATGCAAGGAAGAGGGGCTGTGTCGCCCCATGGCTGCAGGGTGGAATGGATGAAAAGGGAAGGCCGAGGGGCGAAGGGGAGACGCGCGAGCGGGAGCTGCCCCGAGGCAAGCAGCCCCATTTTGCGCTCCGAGGAGCGACAGGGCTTGCAGGACTCCCGGCGATGCACAGGGGCATGTACACAAGCAGAGGCTTCAGCTCCTACCTGCCCCGCCGCGGGGTTCCTCCCTGTCCAGCCAGCCAAGCCGGGAAATGCTCAGGCCAACGTCGCCCAGGCGGCACAACCGCCTCAGTCCGGCGGCAGCAGCCCCTCACTCCGCCTCCGCCGCTCCTTCCGTCCTCGCACTCTCTGCCTCTGTGCCGCCGCCGCGGCGCGCGAACCAACTTGAGCCGACTCTGACTCGCTCGCTCGCTCGCTCAGACTCCGCCTCCTCCATCCTTCCCCATTGGCTGCCCGAGAAGGTCCCCGGCAGCGCCACGTACTGGCAAGGCAGTCGCTTCGGGAATCTGGACTCCGCTCCCTCCCTCCCTCCCGCGAACGAGCGAGCGAGCGAACGAAACTACAGGCTGGTGGTAACGCGGCGACCGCTCCGCAGCGGCGCACAGTTCCCCATGGGAAGGTTCCTGGCTCAGGAAGACGCGTCGCCGCTGGGGAGAGCGTCCTCTCGCTTTCTGTCGTCCTGCCCTAGTCTGGAACTGGCGCTGTCGTGGCTGTAGCAGCGGTAGGGGCGGGGCGGGGCGGGGCGGAGCAGGCGGGAAAGAATGCACGCAAAGCTATTTAGAGACGGAAACATGATGGGAAAGGTTGCTACAGGCTTTACTTCCACCCCTCCGTTTCAGAGGAGTGAAGCGTCTCTCTCCTCCTAATACTCCAAGCCTCCGCGCTGTGCCCACCTTACCTTTCCTCAGATTCAAAGAGGTTCCAAAAGCGGGGCTCTCTCCGTATCATTTTAAAGGCTGGCTGTGGCTTGTGTCGAAATAGCGCTTTGTATGACTCCTGATCTTTCTTCCGAATGAAGATTAACCCCCTTCTCTGTTTTGACATTTCAGCATTTAACGCACAGAGAAGGAGTCAGAGTTCTACTTGAAGGTACTTTCCTTGCCGCCTGCCGCCAAACAAGTCGTGAGCACATCGTAACCTTCAAGAGAAGCCGCTCCTAAAGCTGCCAGTTAAAAAGCCCACTCGGCTCCTCCGAGTGGGCAGCGGCTCCGAGAGCCCTGCTGACCATGAGAAAATGCCATGGCGAGGCAGCAGCTGGCGTGGCTCTCCAGAGCTCCCGCGGGGCCAGGGAGGAGCAGCGCGATGCAGCCCATCTCACAGGAGGGCATGCTGAACTCAGTGTCGGAGGAACCTTGCAAGAAGCACAGACCATCCTTGTATACTCTGCAAAAAGAGCTGGAGTGACAGTGACAGCAGGTAGTGCCCGTGCCAAAAGATTCTGGGCTCACCCTGAAACAGCCAATGTGCCATTTATTACATATGAGCCTTAAGATTAAGCAATGAACATTTGAAGCCATTTTGGCAGGCATTACATGTGAAAAGAACAATGTTTAATATTGTATGCACTACATTATTTGTTCAAAGCCTCTCTTTAATTTTGGTGCAGCTTGGACACTACCAGTGAAAGTAATTAAGGTAGCAGATGTCCTCGGCCTGTTGTGTGACAGAAAACACTTCTTGCAGAGTAGACAAACTGTTAAACATGTTTGCCCAATAAAAGAATAAACACAGGCCAAAAAACCTGATAAGCAAAGAAGTTGCCTGTATTTGGACAAAGAGAAAAAGAGAAAAAAAGTAACTAAGAGTGCAATCATATTGAACCCTGAGCTCAAAAGTTGGGCTGTCTAATGCTGGGTGGACTTTGCCTCTTCATTCTGCCATGCAGTTTTTTTTTTTTTTTTTTTTTTTTGTAGATGGGCAGTTTGTCCACCTAGTGACAAGACATCTGAGCAGGAGGGAAGGTACCTTTTCCTTGCAACCTGCCACTTTGGAGAGTGAATCTGTTTGGCTTTACTTTTAATGCATTGTTTTAAGGATAATTGCTTAATCTTATATTTTCATGACTTTATAACTTGCACTGTTGCTGTAAATTTGTTTAATGTGCCATCCCCTTCTCAATTTATCTATTTATTTTATTTACTTTATTAATTGTTTATCTTCTGGTAGGGCATTATTGATTTTATTGTCATTTTTGGTTTTATTGTATTTGTCGATTTTACTGTATTGCATTCTGACACTGATTTGTTGATCATTACACACATGATAAAAATCACTCCATGAGGCCTTGTAACTGTCCTTGCTTGTGGCTGTGGCATCATTTGAAGGGATGAGTACCCTAACTAAAACAAGAGGTTGATCTTGACATTTAAATAAGCAAGTTAGTAAACCTTTTTCTCTGAACTCTGACACAAGAAGAACTCTCCCATAAGGGAAAATGCTTGCTATAAAAATAAGCCAAGTTTCACTGTGCTCCTGAAAGGAGAACTATGATGCTTGAGTCCAGCAAACCATGCAGGATTACATTTACTGTTATGGAAAGGCCAAAAGTGCCTTGCTGGAGGTCAGAGCAGGTAGATATTTCCAGGGATCTCACACAGGGAGATTCTTCTGATCTATTGGTAAGCTCTATAAATACAATTGCACATCCTCTTACAGCTAGCGTACAAGAAATCATTTCCACTGACACACATCTTGCTGTACAACTACACTGTGCCTCAGGATACGTTTGAATTACAAGTAGGTGAAGCCACCTCACAATCACTTTGCTAATGTTTTCCCTGAGGCACTAACAAGAGGAGTTTCCCAGTGATCGTTAGAATCCAGAGTCATTTTTGTTTTAAAACAATATATACCACTATCATTTTAGCATCCTATACATCTTACATGACAGCTTCTTTCCTCCAGTAGTGTACCATATGCAGCTGTGAAGGTATAGCAAAAGCTCAGTCTTTCCATATTTAAGCACCTCAGGTGAAGCGCTTCCTTACAAACCTTGCTAAGGAGTACATGCGTTGACTAAGTTCTACAGCCTCCATACCAGCTTTGCCATAACTCTATCAGTGTATCAGCTATTGTGAAAAATTCCATAAAATGTGATGTATGCCCATTTATCTTGGTTTAATATTTTATTTTTGAGGCTGTCCTTCTCTATTTTCATCAGCAGAGATGGACAAAGACATTCTAACCAAGCATTATTATGGCAACAGAAACCAGCAAGGCCAACCTTAAAGTATAAATGAAACCATTTTCTGTAATTGCAGAAACCAATAACAAAAGCAAGAAACCTAGTTAGAATTCTAAGCTGCAAGCCATTAAGAGTGACCTCACTTTCAAGCTGGGGGCATCTTTTCCCTTCCAAACTCAAATTACTAGCACCCTACCTTTAAAGTGGTTACCTCTTGCTGTAACACATTTTCATTGCCATTCCCTCTTCCACTGACATCTGACCCTGGGAAAGTATGCTTGTCATACTTTCTCCTTCAGTAACAGGCTCTCAGTGACTTCCTATGCTTTCTGAAAGTAATTGACTCTTTGCTACTTCCTGCCTTATCTGAGTCTTCAACCAGGAATTCCATCCCCTTCTCACCTGATGCAGAGTCTGTCCCCATATTCCCTGAAGGCATTTTAGATGAATGGCTCCAATCTCTACAGTTTTCTTATACATGGAATTGAGGCTGAAACTCCTAATATGTCCTATCTAATCAGTTCTATGGCATTAACAGAAACCCTTGTCCTAAAAAATAGTATGTGTCTACATAACACACACATTTTCTTGAATTGCTCGAGATCAAAGAGGATTAGTATTTATGGCGTTAAAATGTGTGAAAGCCTTTTTCCTAGTGCAACCACATATATTCTGTGATAGATGCAGTACATTTGCTTGTTAGGGGAAACAGATGTGCTGACTACAGTTCCATTTAATGGTACTTTTTATAAAATATTTTATAAAATACTATTCTGAGGCACACTCCTATGAATCAGTTATAATCAGGGAAGGAGATACACTCCCACTACACTAGCAAATGGACACTCTATTCTATACTTACCTAGTATGAGAGAAAAGGACAAACACCACTCACTGATTTCTAAAATGGCAGTTCACACTAACTTATTATCACATTGTCTTCTGGTTATTGAACCCAATACAATATCACATCCCCGTCAGATGTGAGGGTGATGACACTGTATTCAGACTGTTAATAAGAACATACTGAGGTTAACTGTAATCTTAGCCGTGAACTGTTCATGGCATCCAACAATGGCATTTTGTGTAGCCATAAAAGCAACTGATACATGGCTAGCTTAATTGCTGTGAGAAACCTGTAGAGTAGCAAGAAATTCCACTGAAGACAGGACATGACCATCCACCACCCACTCTGAATGCTTCAATGCTTTACCTGATCCTTATGTTTATACAACCTTCTGCTGAAATTACTTGGAAAAGCTGGGTGTTCTCTCATGCCTCCCTCTCCTTCATCCCTGCTGGCAGCTTCTGGGAGATTTTTAAAATTACTATCACCAGTACTATTTTAAGTATTGCATTTGCAATAATAATGCATACAAAAGCAGAACAAAATACAGCCACATTAATACCTAATCCCTTCCCAACTTGATGCATAGTAATTTGTCCTATTTTGTCACCATTCATCTTTTTCCTATGAGCTCTCTAACTTTCTTCCAAAATTATTCTATTCTGAGAGCCACACACCCCCTTGTGCAGAAACAAAGTTGGCCTATGGCTTAAAGAATCAGAGGTGGGGGAAGAGACCTCTATGGAGAACCTTGCTGATTGGTTTTCCCTTTGGTTTTCCACTTATAACAATGAGTGTAAACATGTCTAATGGGCTTAATGCCTGGACTACTATCTATCATATCAGAAAGCTCTGTGACTGCCAGAGGGACATGTGAACTTTGTGTGTTCATGCACAATCTGGTTTATCTTCAACCATATTTTATCAACTCATTCAATATTGACAAAAGTGATTTTGTTTCCCACTGATTATCTGCAAATCCAAAATACGATGCTGTCAGCACTAGGAGACAAGCAGTGGGTTTCAACAGCTAGAACACCTGGAGCAAGTGTGCTGGAGAGGAACAGAGTTCTTAGCATTGATGCAAGAGAGCCAAATGCAAAGTCCAACTACAAACTAAGG